ATTTTGATTCCATCCCATTTATTGATTCTTGGTTTTAATTCTTGTGCTATCGAGTCTTATTAAGGAAGTTGGTGTCTAATCCCACATAATGAAGATTAGGGCCTACTTTTTCTTCTATTAGACACAGAGTCTCTGGTGTAATTCATAGGCTCTTGATTCATTTTGAGTTAAGTTTTGTGCATGGTGAGAGATATGAGTTTAATTTCATTTTGTTGCATATGGATATCCAGTTTTCCCAGCACCATTTGTTGAAGATGCTATCTTTTCTCCAGTGCATGTTTTTGACACCTTTGTCTAATATAAGATAATTATAATTTTGTGCATTATTGTCTGTGTCCTCTATACTGTACCATTGGTCTACCAGTCTTTTTTGGTGCCAATACCATACTGTTTTGTTACTATTGCTGTGTAGTATCATTTAACATCTGGAATAGGGATGCCACCTGCTTTACTCTTTCTGCTAAGGATTGCTGTAGCTATTCTGGGTCTCTTATTTTTCCAGATGAATTTCATGATTTCTTTTTCTATTTCTATCAGGAATGCCATTGTGATTTTGATTGGAATTGCATTAAATCTGTATAGTGCTTTTGGAAGTATGGTAACTTTTATAATATTAAGTCTGCCTATCCAGGAACAAGGTAGAACTTTCTATTTTCAAAGGTATTCTTTGATTTCTCTCTTTAGGGTTCTGTTGTTTTCATTGTATAGATCTTTCATCTCTTTTGTTAAGTTGATTCCTAAGTATACGTATATTTTTTAGGTTATTGTGTTGCGGTAGTTTTTTTCATTTCCTTCTCAGAGTTTTTTTCACTGATATACAGAAATGCCTTTGATTTATGTGTTTTTATTTTATATTATGCTACTTTGCTGAATTCATTTACTAGTTTTAGAAGTTTTCTGGTGGAGTTTTTTTGATCTTCTAGGTATAGAATCATATCATCAGCAAATAGTGCTAATTTAAGTTCTTTTTCTATACATGCCCCTTTGATTTCTTTCATCTCTCTAATTGCTCTGGTCAGTGTTTCAACCTATTTTGAATAGAAGTGGTGAAAGAGGGTATCTCTTTCTTATTCTAGTTTTTAGAGAGAATGTCTTCAGTTTTTCTCCATTTAGGATGATGTTGGCCTGAGGCTTAGCATAGATAGCCTTTACATTGTTGAGATATGTTCATGTTATCCCTGGTATTTCTAGTGTTTTGAACATTAAGGGGTATTGTACTTTGTCAAATGCTTTATCTGTGTCTATTGAGATGATGCTATGATTCTTATCTTTAAGTCTACTCATGTGATTAATTACATTTATTGATTTTTGTGTGTTGAACCAAACTTGCATCAAGTGGGATGAATCCTACCTGAAATCATGGTGCACAACCTTTTTGATATGTTTTTGTATTCGATTTGACAGAATTTTATTCAGAATTTTTGCATCTATATTCATTAGACTTATTGGTCTGAAGTTTTTTTCTTTGATGTGTCTTTCCTGGTTTTGGGATCAGGGTGATATTGGCCTCGTAGAATGACTTGGGAATTATCGCCTCTTTTTCTATTTCCTGAGATAAATTGAAGAGTATTGGTATTAGTTTTTCTAAAAGGTCTTGAAGAACTTGGCTGTGTATCCATCCATTACTGGGCTTTTCTTGGTTTGCAAGCTTTTGATGGCTTCTTCTGTTTCCTTCCTTGATATTTGCTGTTTAAATTGTGTATGTCCTCCTTATTCAATTTGGGCATATTGTATGACTTAAAAAATTTGTTGATGCCTTTAATGTCTTCTATTTTATTCGAGTATAAGATTTCAAAATAAGTTCTAATTATCTTCTGTATTTTATAGTATTTTTGTGATATTACCTTTTTCATC